AAGAAGTGAGCACCACTACCATCACCACCCTTTTCTTTAGCTTCCGCCGGTTGCAGTGGAGCGCCCATAAATACAACGTGCTGAAGACAATCGGTGACGGTTCAACTTCTTGGTTGATGATTTTCACTTTCGACTTCTTCTTCTTGGTACAACGCGGCGTGGAGAGCGGTCACGACGACTGGTCGGGGTGCGGGGCGGCGATGGGCGTGCGTTGGAGGAGGCCGGGCGGTGGCGACGTGGTGCGGCCCGAGCTGCGCGGCAGGTGGTCGGGCGAGGTCTCCAGAGTGTGGAAGATGCGCGGCGAGTAGTCGTAGCACTCGTCGACCCCCTCTCCCCCTGCATCATCACCGCGCGTCGCCACCGCCGACGTCGCCTCCAGGTCGCCCTCTCGCGTGGGTGACGAGTGCCGTCGCCCTCCGTCTCTGCCCCCGCTCGTGCTCCTCCCATGGCGCCGGTCGTGGCGGTGGTGATGGTGATGCCGATCACGTCGCCGCGCGCTCCTCCTCCGCTCTTGGTTTCCCTCGTGGCCGGCTTTCGCGTCGTCGTCGCACGCAGCGCAGTCACTCCGCCCATCCTCGCCTTCGCCTTCGCCCTCATCACTGCAGTTGCTGCTGCTGCCGCCGCCGTCGACGTCGGTGCTCTCGTCGCTTCCGGCGGTACCAAACTCGTCGACGTCAAAGTCCTCCTCCCCCGTGTCGCCACCGCCGAACGCGGTCGGGCGCGCATCGGTGCGCCCATACGCCGCCTGCCAGCATCATTCGAATTCTTCTTAGAAGAGCGACAGAAAAAACAGGGGCACGACACGACACGACACGCACGGCACACGCTGTGGGGAGGTGTGGCACCTCGAGCATGCGCTGGCCGTAGACGACGGCGTCGTGTACGTCCCAGTAGAAGTTCTCCTTGCCGATGAGGTCCACCAGCCCCCCGCTCAGCATCGTATCCCGCACGGGGCCCTTCAACGCCGCCTGCACACCCGGGTCCCCGAAGTGGTGAATTAGTCATTTTCTCAATATATATATATGTATGTAGTAGCAGTACGAGGTGACGGAGGAGGAGACGAACCTGGATGAAGAGGATGTTGTTGGCCTTGTACTCCTTGACGATGCTCATGAGCTCCACGCACGCCGAGTAGTCGATGTCGTTGATCGAACTCCAGTCCAGCACCACCACGCCTGCGCATACGACACGACACGACACGACACGGCGTGTAAGAAATGGTACAGCGGTGCAGTGCATCCGACGAGCAAAAGCGGGCGCGCGTCTTGAGTGGTACCGTAGAGCTTCTTGGTGTCCTCCTCGACGTCCTTGCCGGGAGCCCGAGACAGGGGCGCGATCTTCTTTTTCTCCTCGTTACGCAGCCGCTCCTTTAGGAAACCTGTGACGCACACGACGCACGCACGCACACCACCGCACACGCCACACACAGGATGAGATCATACAATTGTGATGGGACCAACGAATGGGGGAGAGAACGGGGGGCGCACCGATGTTGGCAAAGTAGAGGGCGGCGTCGAGCCGCAGGATCACCATGCGAGGGATGACCAACGCCTGCGGGAAACGCTTCACATTCCTGAAACGGGATATTTATGTACGAATTTCCGCCACGCGCGCTGACGTCAGCCGGTCGGCGATCGTGCAATGCAGCACAGATCGAGCGGCCGGGGCGGGAGGGCTGTGGGCGTACGTACCGGTAGGTGGTGGAGCCGGGCAGCCGGCCCAGGATGTCGATGTGGGGCCGCGAGCTGCGGTAGATCACCAGCACCATCGAGAACGCCACTGATATCACAATGCCTGCGCTCCCCCCCCCCAATATTCGGCTCTATCAGCGACCACCACGCCACACACACGACACACACACGACACACACACACGCCCACGCACCGTTGATGATTCCGAAGACCAGCGTGGCAGCCACGGTGGTGATCCACAGCACGCCCTCCCTCCGTTTCAACCGCCACAATGTAAAAAACTCCTGCACCCCCCGGAGCGGTGAGTCACACCGTGTGCGTTGTTGCATGTGTGTGTGTGTGTGTGTGTGATTTCTGCATGTGTGCGTGTGCGCTTTCGCGTGTTGCGAATCGGTGGTACCTGGTATTCGATGAGGGGCAGGACGGCCATGATGACGATGGAGCCGAGCACGACGTAGGGGAGAAAGTAGAAGACGGGGGTGAAGAAGAAGATGACCAACAGGATCACCCCTACGCCAAACGCCGACGCCAACGGCGAATTCGCCCCGGCCTGTGCGTTCACCATCGTTCGCGACAGACTTCCCGCACCTGGTGTGCCGACAAGCACGCGCACGCGGTGAGGGCGAAAGGCGAAAGGCGCCGAGGGCGAATGGAAAGGGGAAAGAGCGAAAATGGGCGAGTAGTAGTAGTCGTGGTGGTGGTGATGGTAGGTACCGGGAAAGCTGGAGAAGAAGGAGCCGACGAAGTTGGCGAGGCCGAGGGCGATGAGCTCCTGGCTCGGGTCGATCTCGTACTTCTTCATGTCGGCCACCTTGGTGGCGATCGACACCGACGACATGTACCCGACCAGCGCCAGCGCGAGGGCCACCGGGAACAGCTCCACGGTGTAGTGGTAGTAGTACTCGAATATCTCGCCCACCACGTTCGTCCCCTCCTCTACCATTACACGACACGACACGACACGACACGACACGCACACGACACGACGCGCGTGAGAGGGAGGGGGACGAGCGGAGGGCGTGGGGCGAGTACCGATGGGGAAGTCGGGGGCGGAGGGGATGGGGAGGAGGGGCGAGGGGAAGCCCGAGGGGATGGCGCCGACGAGCCGGATGCCACGGGCCTCCCAGTCGAAGAGCCACGCGCACAGGGTGCCGAGGCCGACGGCGATGACCGGCCCCTCGAGATAGGGCAGGCGCCGCTTGAGCCGCCGGCAGACGAAGAGGAGCGCGAGCGCGACGAGGCCGACCTCGAGGGTGAGGAGGTGCGCGCGGTTCATGTGCCGAAGCAGCTGGTACACGGTGCCGTAGAACTGGGCCTGCCGCGGGAACGACACGCCGAGCAGGTACTTGACCTGCTCGCTCGCGATGATCAACGCCGACGCGCTGATGAACGCGCTCAGCACTGCGAGCCCACCGCCGCCACCACCACGATGAGCGATGAGAGATGAGCGATGAAGTGATGATGGATGACGGTGATGATGGAGGAAAGAGTACCGGGCTTGGAGAAGAAGTTGACGACGAAGCCCAGGCGGAGGAGGCCCATGATGATGAAGATGATGCCCACGAGAAAGGACATAAAGTACACCTTCTCTGCGTAGTCCGCCGTGCCCGGCTCCGCTAACGGACTCAAACCTGCCGTCGTCATCGCGAGTCTGAGTTCGGTACACGACACACACACGACACACACACGACCTACCGCGCTCGACGATAAGGGAAACGATGGCGATGGGTCCGTAGACCAGCTCCTTGGAGGTGCCGAAGAGCGAGTAGACGAGTGACGGCACCGTCGACGCGTACAGGCCCACGATCGCAGGCAGCCCTGCGCTCGCCGACCACCCACCGACCAGTCAGTGACTTAAATAGTTGAAATTGTGTGGTGAGTCGCGCGTGAGTGAGAGAGGAAAATGTGGAATTTGGGGAATGCGCGCACCGGCTATGAGGGCGTAAGCCATGCCCTGCGGGATGCCCATGATGCCAATGGTGAGGCCCGCGATCACGTCGCCCTTGAGGAAGCCCAGCCGGTACCCGCCGGCCCACGTCAGCGGCGGAAACATCTGCGCCGCTGTCCGGCCCGCCTGTGTACACTCCCCGCCTTGAGCCGACACTCATGCGCGTGCCGTGTGTGGTGTGTGCGTCGTGTTTGCGAGGAGAGGTGACCTTGCGCAGGAAGGCGCGTGCGGGTGTGTCGGGTGGCTTGTGCTGAGAGTTGGCTTGGCTGCGGTCTTCATCGATGCGCTGCTGTTGCGCGTAGGGCACGGGCGTTGACACGTTGTCGTCCACCACCGGCTGGCGCTTCGGGGGCGTCGTCGTCGCGCTGGCGCTGCTGCCCGCCGACGCGTACCTGCCTCCGCCCGCGGCCCCTTTGCCTTTGGCCGCGCCGCACGTGACGTCAGCAGCCACCAAGCACCACACCTGGGGGAGGAGAGGAGGAGGTACCTGGGGTGAGGAGGGGGCGCGCTTCGTCGCCCATCGATGCCGGGCAATAAGGCGCAATAGAGGAGGTTCAAATCTTTGCTCCAGCTGTTGCGCGTGCGTTTGAGTTCCACAATTTCTGCTGATTTGCCTGGAAGTGAAAAAGAAATTGTTATTATTTTTCACAATTATTTTATTTGGAGTTGTGATTTTTGATGAAGTCCCAAGATGAACAAGGGGGCGAGCACCAAGGTGCAGAGGAGAGCAGCGTGTCGGTGCTGACCTTCAACGTGCTCGCCCCATGCTATGCACGTCTCCCCGCATCTCGCCGGTTTGCCCCTCCACACCCCGCTGCTGCGCTCTTCTGGGATGGCGTGGGGCTCTGAGCCCTGAACGCAGCGTGCAGCATGACAGAGGCCGAGGGCGGGGGCTGGCGGGAGAGGGCGCGGGACATTGTGGGTCTGGTGGAGGCAGCCCGCCCCGACGTTGTGTGCCTCCAAGAGTTATGGTTCAACGGAGAAGACGCGCAGCAACAGCAGCATCACCAGGATACTCTACAAGATGAGGAAAGCATGCTTGCCCTCTTTCGAAGGCGGCTGGGCGATAGGTAAACCGNTATTTTTGTCACCGTTGCTTCTTCTACGCGCGCGCGTA